TAAATACGAGAGGGGTATCTACCCCCTTTCAAAACAAAGGAAATGAAATTAGCTTATTGTATTTAAGATAGGTCGAAAAATTTACTTTGTGGAGAGTAAATAGAGCCATATATTTGTAAAAGCAGTGGCATCATGCTTCATGACTAATATGCGATGATGAACAGTCATGAATATGAGAAAGACTTTTCGTGCAAAAGGTATGCATGCAAAAGTTTCTATGACTCGGTAGAGGCTCACGAAACATATATGTCATGTAAAAACAATTATTTAATGAACTATTGTAACATACAGATGTTCATATATTTAGGCAATAATATCATAAGGATAACGTATCACTTATCTCGTGGCCCTCTTCCAGGGGTATCCACAAGTAAGAGGGGCAATACCCATTTGTCGAGAAGTTCCTCATTGTTGTCAACAGAGCTCGTTCTTGACATGTACCGTGTATTGTCCTTTATTTGTCTGGGGCTACTGTGGCCTAAGTATACTCTTGTATCATAGAGGGGCTATCTTCATTCTCGATTTTCTGCAAGTTCTGCGAAAATATGAAGAAGTTCTCCCACTTCTCGAGCATGCCTTTGCGATAGAAGGCCTTGCAAAACTATGCTCAAGATCATATAGTAACAACTTTTCGAGAGATATGGAGGTAGTCATAATGATTCGTGTGAGAGATAGGTAATGGTTGATCATGAATGTAGTGATACAAAGACTAGTAAATTTACATATTACATGTATGGAGACAAGGTTAATGATAAACTCAGTCGATGATTTATAGTCTACGTGAGGCTCGAGATTAATTCGATCGATATGCTATCTATGGAAGAAGATACTAGCCATAGAGCATGTAAATGTCAAGGAGGTAATAACACTTATCTTCCTTTTCGAGCAGGTCATTGCCCCTTGGAATGGGTTACTTCATGGTTCGAGAAGGATGCTCCTCGAATTATCTTATTGTAAGACCTGCGAAATCAAATAGTATAACTGCGCCATTCTCGGACATGTTATTGTAACTGTACGCATTTTTCATTAGATCACCTCAAGGGAGGCAGTGTGTAATTTAAAGGGCATAACCAAAATTACATCCGTTATAGAAGTCCAGTTAGAAACATTATAACATGGCACAAGTAAGTTTAGAGCTACTTATCTCTTTTCAAATCTGTCGAGGAGATTGACTCTACCATTGTCATAGGGCCGTCGTGTGTGATCACGACTGTATATGCCCTCGGTCACTTTGAAAAAACGAGCTATGCTTGCATAGCTGTTCACTTTGTACAAAACGTTAGTTGTTCTAATAATAAGGTAGTTAGACCCTTAGCGAGCATACTAGATTTATGTATGGCTAAGAGTAGTACAAGTAAGCAAGTGAATTTCACGTTCGGATAAACGTATGGCAAGTAATATCATGCATGTGATGCGACTTTATGTGTTATTAAAATATTTCGCAAGTATCTTCATGCTTGCTATGAGGGCAAAAAAGGGGATGATTCATATAAATATGTGAGGAAACCTAATCAGATAATATACGATCGACATGCCATTATTATAATATTGTAGCAACAACATGCTTTAAGGCAGCCTAGTATGTGCATTTATGCATAATGATGCCTAAGATATTGGAAGGCAATGATGTGTCAAAGGAACTTATTTGTAATAGAAGGTTATGATAACTTATCTGTTATTAAAGCCTCTACTTCAGATAATCATGTAGGAGGGGGTGTTCTCGCCTATGCTTCTGAATGACAGCGAATGTCCTTGTATTCAAATTCCAAGGAAGCTTTGCAGTTCTCCGAGGAGATGTATCTTTTGCAATATCAGAATGGCCATTGCTGTAAAGTTAAGACTTGTACAATAAAATGGTGAGACCATTAGAGGCAAGAGTTTTTGTCGCAAGAGACAAAAAAGTCGAATGAGATATAATAGACAGATATTGAGACATCAATCTAGTGTATGCATAAGGACCGTCTTTGTGATTAATAAATAACTTTTGCAGAAATACATGCAAAACCACAATCAATGGGCGACTTTGTTAAAAGCTCAAAGAATGCCGCAAGATTTTCCACATGATGATTTCAAACTTTAAGAGAGTACCAAGTTTGTGTGCTTTGATAGCCTTTAAAGCACTACTTCATAACTAAACTGAATCTTGCCTGAAGTCTCAAGAGCCTATATACGTGTATACATATCTAAACAATACATGTGTTTAAATAAGTTCTCGAGTAAGCATATGATTTGGACAAACTCAGACTTGATTAGGATGATTTTGGGGGAGAGATATTCATCTCAAAAACTGAAGTTAGGAGGACGCTTTGATAAATGAATTCCAACAAAGCATTAGTGATATAATATGGGATGTAATTCCAAGCCTATTTCTTGGCCAAACTACTTCTCGGGGAATTTTAATTCTCATATTCTAGATAAGTCGTAAATTATGAAATCTTGTAATGAAAAATGTCGTGTAAAGTGAGTATTTTCACTAATTCATGGAGCACAATCATGGCTAAAATTTTTAATGTGGACGACATTAATTTCTTGATGAAGGAGTTCTACTTGAGTAATGGACATCTAGCTCGAGAATGTTACATGGCACAAGATTGATCTTGTTGCTCTGATAAATTTGCAATTAAACAACAAAAGATATTTTTTCCGAAAGCATGAATTATCACATATGCCATTTACTTTCATATATATATATATAGATATATAGATGTGAGAATAAGGAATCCGCCAGAATAATCACCCAAGTGGAATATTATGAATAAGATGTATATGATATTTATGTCTTAAAATAACATATACTGTGTGCCATAAAACTCCAAAACTAGGGTAGTATTAGTAACTAAGACATATAATATGATTTGGGCAGCCAAAATAAAACATATATATAAAAAACGTGGGATTTCAACCACCCCAAATAATCATGTAATTATTGATTAGGTAAACAATGAAAAGTTAGGCAAACAAGTCTATTGCTAATAAACCTGAATACTTCGGTTCATCAAAGTTCATGCATGTGATCATAGTTGTTTACCGGGCCACAAAAACGCACCACTTGGGACTATGAAAATCCTTAAGTCTAGTGCATGACGAAAGTTGTATGGCTGCTTGTCGATTAGAATTCAAAAAATTGGATTAAGGTTATAGTTAAAAACGTAGAACCTGGAGACTATAGCTTGGAGAAACGAGTATGATTTCTCGTGCATCATCCACCATGGGAAAGAGACGTGCGAACACCTCCGCACGAAAATTTGTTGAGGTAACCCTTTGCGGGTCCCACCGGGCGTGCCATTTGACGAAGCATGGATTTGCTCCGATATCTCCAGTGGATTGAACCGGCAGCCATGGTGGCTATGAAACCCTAAAACCTGCAAGACAGAGCCTTGGAGTCTCCCGAGGGTAGACTCTCCGATACTTAAGTCAGTAAGAGTAATTGTAAGAGAGGTATGAAATTGGGGTGCATAGACCGTACTTTTGATAAGAGGGGTTGATCATTATTTATAGAGCTAGGTTATGAAACCCTTTCTTAGTAGGAAAGTAATTATGAACCGAACTTGGGCCGGCCTAGTAGTGGGCCATATAATTAGGACTCGTCAATCAATTTTATGTTTAACCCTCAAATTATGTTTCCTTTTTTTTTAAAGTGTCCTGTTTTCAGTTCCTAAACTACATCCCGATTTTGATTTCTCGGGCATGTCCTTCTCGTTTGAGATCAACATATAAAGAGGCAAAATGCAAACAGAAAACTTGCAAAAATAATTTCCCCCGTTTCGTTTTGTTAGAAAAGTGTAGTCAAATACTTTGTTTAATTGCTATGCACGGTACTGGAGCATTTGTCTCTCAGATGCTGCCATATTTATATACTATTTTAAATATAGCCTATATGCATGTATAAAATGCAATTCTAAAAATTTTAATTCTTTCAACTTGCATTCGTACGTTTTAAATAATTTTTTCCCTTTTCTATGAAAACTATGAAAAGTTTACATTGATCAATCCTCTAATTAAGCCGCTTACTCCAAAGTGTTCATAAAAATAAATGAATAAATAAAAAATTTTAAAAAAATCCGATAAGTGTTGCATTTTGCTTTGCTATCGATGGCTAAAACGAGTGTTAATTAGAAATGCTTTTGAAACTTTCGAATAAATCCTTCTAGAGGGGAAATAATTTGGGAGGAAATAGGGAATACGTACAGAAGAAGTATAATGATAGTAAGGGTTGAATTTGCGAAGTAAAATGCGACACTATGAAATTTGATACGCTTAAATATTCTATTAAAGATTAGAATATTGTGTAACCAAAGCACTAGTCATCTTCGTTGTGTGTGTTCTTTGTTTCGTTTTATCAGAGAACATAGAACTGAATTACAATCCTTAACATTTCCTGATTAGACTCGCTTGGTCGATATCATTTTCCCCTCCAATTTATTTTTAAAAAATGAAAATTAATTCAAATTTGTACCTTCTAATTGAGACGTGAAAAAACAATTCCCGCTAGTAAAAGTACAATTTTCCTTTGGATTTTCGTTTTCTCTTTTTTTTTTTTTTTGGTGAATTTTCTTTTCTTTATATAGTATTTTCTTTCCAAGGAGATTTGTAGTGCTGGTTTAGAATTTCTCAGCGGAACAGCAATTCTCATAATCAGAACAGCCAGAAAGGGAAAGAAATGAGGAACGTATTCCGTCCAGATAACTTTGGAACCGAGTTCTACTCCGTCTCATTTCAATAGTTCAACATGTCTCGATGTTGAGGTAAAAAATGTGTATCAAATGCATGTTTAAGGTGTTAGCTTAAGTCCAGTCTTGCCAATCGTGGTGGATCAAAACCAAGGTGCTTTTGTCGAAGAGTCATTTTCAGCTGCCACAATAAACTCACATTCATCGATAAATGGAGAAAACACACATTTCATCACAAGTAGTGCAATTTACTCGAATTCAATCCACTCTGAACTAAATCAGACAGACATCTAGAAGGGCAGAGTAGCCAGCGTAACAAACTAAAGATTTTCATCCATTCTTCCATGTTGCCAAAGGTGGTGTATCAGAACTTTGCCAAGTAATGAACCCAGGACCATATCTGTCGCCCTTGACAGCATCAGCTGAAGCGATGGATTCGAGCTCGGCCATGTCTTCGGCCGATAGTTTTACAGATAAGGCTCTGATATTCTGCTTGAGATTCTCAATTTTGGTTGTGCCAGGTATCGGACAAACATCATTGCCCTGAGATGCACCCAGGCTAATGCGAGCTGAGATGGAGTACAACCCTTCTTGGCAGCCAAGTCATTCACCCGGTCGAACAGCTTCTTGTTATGCTCCAAATTTTCTGCTTGCAACCTTGGCAAGAACTGTTGACATATGAATATAACTTAAGTCAGATCTTCAACATATCTATCTATGTAGATCAACTAGTTTCATAAAATTTACAAAAAAAAATATGCTAGCTTAAGGAACTGTTGATCACAATACAAGAACTCAATGACCTCAATCGCAGAGAGTGGCCAGAATTCCAGTTCTTGACTGTTCACGAATTTAGTAACCGAGAGCCAAATATGAACCACTTCTCTACGATGAATTATACCAGCGACTCAGTCAGCTTGTTGAGATTCTTACTTTTCTTCCCTTTTTCCTTACTGATTTTAAAGATTGTGACTCAGGCCAACTTTCACTAAACCACACTTCCTGCTTGCCACACTTAGTTGTGCAACATTTTTTGAAAATTAACATCTAATCCATTTGCTTACGGGCTTTGGGTGTACGATATTGCTGGAGCAAGCTGCAGTCTCTGTTCATTTCAATAATAAAGCACAAAGTACCTCTCAAGCATCAAAATTCAACTACTAGGCATCATTTAACAGAAGGTGCTCTGCCTTTCCCTACAAATATCTTCAAATTAAATATCTCTTTTCTATTCTCGCATATCCAGAATTAAAACTCAATGATATCAAGAATTAAAAAAAAAAAAAGAATAAAGAAGTCCATAGATCCTCATAGTACTATTGGAAACACAGTACCCTTGTTGCGATAGAGCTAAAATTGATGAAAAGGGAAAGTGTAACTTTGAAATGAAAGCAATCCCACTTACTCGAAAACATTTTTCCAGAACAGAATTGAACCGAAAAGATAAGATAAGTACAGTGTTTCATTAAGTTTTCATTCCTAATTCGAACAAAACTAAGATTATGCTTGTTGATCTAATACATGGAAAGATATGATCCTGTCACAAACATCAACATCTCCAAAGATACGATCCTGTACCCAACCTAATTAGTCGCAGTGGAAGTAATTCATAATGTGTCACCTAACTACTTATGAACACCTTCTCCTCAGAACTCATACTCAACGTACCTTTCGGGCATCCCCTTCCTCTAACTTCTCAAGAAGGTTAGGACCGGATGATAAACATCCTCTTCCCAGAGGGCTGTATGGTACGATACCGATGCCAAGTTCTCTAGAAGATTAATTTAACCAGCTAGGAAATTAAGAATTTTAATAGTTCCTGAACTCCCCAGAGGTAAATAAAGCACATAAATGCAGTACCTGCAAGTAGGAATTACTTCTTCCTCCACATCTCTGGACCACAAAGACCACTCCAATTGCACCGCTGTTATAGGATGAATAGCATGGGCCCTTCTAATTGTTGAAGGAGAGGCCTCAGATAAACCTATGTACTTTATTTTACCCTCTTCAACAAGCTTTTTAAGCTCTCCAATCTACCAAAACCAGAGAACAAGAACAAGAAAAGCCCAAAATCAGGAGTTTTGTGAAGAAAATTTTCAGGCCCTTATATTTTGTGAACTTCATCATAGTTCTGGTCTCTCGATGAAGTTTAAATCCCACATTGTCATGCTTTTAGTACATCGCTACATTTCGAGTTCATCTCTTTAATTAGGAAGTTGAAGACCTAAATAGAAACCAGAACATGAATCCATAGAGGGCTTGATGAGCCATTTTATTAAACAGAAAGCCAGTACTTCCTCCATTTTGAAATATATGTCGTTTTAGGATTTGATAAATTTTTTAAAATATATGTCGTTTCTATAAATCAAGGCATATTTGACCATTTTTTACCAATATTACCCTTGCATTGGAAATGAGATAGTATTTATAATGAATTTATATTAATTTGTGATGAATTGTATAAACAATAAATAAAAATATTTTATATTTTAATTACATTAATTAATATTTTTTTGGTTTTAATGATTTCTCTGGAAAGACATAAAAAAAATGGAGTGAGTTTGTAGCTAGCATAAACAAACTGGAGATTTTCATGTAGCCTTCCATGTCATTTAAGACTTTTTGTTAATAATTCGCGGGTCTGTTGTGCGTGTCGTGACCGGGTCAAAATAATTCGGGTCATGTATAAGTTAACAGATACTTATTCTGGTTGCCTTATTCTTTCGCGATACCCCCGCTTCGAGCCTTCGAGCTCCGACTCCGGCCTACTGAGCTTGCGCGCTGAAATCATCCCTAGACCATCTGGTAAGTTTCATATTCAAAACCAATTTCATTGATTTGTATGTGGGGTTTGCTGGATTTTTGTTTTCGTTATGATTCTAGATCTGACTAATAGAGTCCATTCAATTTTGGCTTGTCGCTTCGGATGTTGCTATCCTGGTTTTGATGTTGTATATTGTTCGGTTTCCATTATTTCTCAGTAGATACGCAGATGGGAAGATGGAGAGCTTCCTCGCCATAGCCGTTCGTGATCTTCGGTAAGTGCTCATGGATTTGTTGAATCTTTTTGATAAAATATTTTGCAAGCTACTAGATCTGGTTTTGTTCATCTTTTCCATCCTAGTCCTAATCCTATTGCGCGTATGTAATTATACCACAACTTTGATTCATTTACTGATTGGGTCTTGTGGGGTGTCATTGATTTTGGTTGATTCCCTGGAGCCTCTCGTTTGGGGGTTTGATTTTGGTTGTTTCATCCTTATTCAACAACGTTTGACTGGAAAAAATTTCGTTACTACTCAAATCTTTGCCCTCGTCGTCAATCATTCCCAATAGATTTTCGGTTAGTCAACTTTACCTTAATGTTTGAAATTATCGCCAATTTCGTCTAATCGGCCTATTTTCCGTCCAAATTAACGGATCTCCGTTAGTTTTTTAATAAAATAATAAATTTAATTACAAAAATACCTAGTAATTTTTAAAAATTTTAAAAATAACCCCTAAAATATATAAAAATAACAAAACAGTCCCTTTTCACTTTTTTATTTAATTTTTCTCTATTTTGTTCCATTTCTCTCAACTACTTTTAATGACCATAAAAGTCTATTATATGGGTTTTAAAAAAATATTTATTTATTTTCAAACTCTACCGTAAAAATTAATCTTTGTATAGTAGTAACCCATGATTGTATTTATATAAGCATGTTAATTTTTTAATAATATAATTTAGCAATAAAGATACTATTTTTCTTATTTATTTTATTCTTCCTAACATAAAGATTAAAAACATTTAAAAGAAACTAATATTCCACATAAAAATAAAATATTAGCTCAAATAAAAAAAATATTAATATATTTTAGTGTATTACAATTTAACTCAAGAGACTATAACTTGCATTAATATAATTCATAGAAAAATAAATAAAATATAAAATAATTAAGACAATATTTTTCTGATTTATTTTATTTTTCCTAACATAAGATTAAAAATATTTAAATGAAACTAATATTCCACATAAAAATAAAATATTAGCTCAAATAAAAAAATATTAATATATTTTAGTGTATTATAATTTAACTCAAGAGCTGTAGCTTGCATTAATATAATTCATAGAAAAATAACTAAAATATAAAACAATTAAAACCTTAAAAAATCCTCTAAACATAAGTTTTCCTTCTTGAATCTAAAACATATTTTCTATCACAACAACTTATTATCATATTGTTAACTACATTCATTTATTTTAAACTAAAATCATATAGAATAAGCTAGTAAGTCTTCATCTATAGTTAGATATATTAACATCTCAAATAATTATTACAAAATGTTAAAACCTCGTATTGATAAGTATAAACACATTTTTTATAAATTATATTATACCATGTAGTCTCTCTAGTTAAATTGTAATACACTAAACTATACTGATATATTATTTTTTATTTGAGCTAATATTTTATTTTTATGTAGAATATTAGTTTCATTTAAATGTTTTTAATCTTTATGTTAGAAAGAATAAAATAAATAAGAAAAATAGTGTCTTTATTGCTAAATTATATTATTAAAAAGATTAACATGCTTATATAAATACAATCATGTGTTACAACTATACAAAGATTAACTTTTACGGTAGAGTTTGAAAATAAATAAATATTTTTTTAAAACTCATATATATACTTTTATGGTCATTAAAATTAGTTGAGAGAAATGGAACAAAATAGAAAAAAATGAAATAAAAAAGTGAAAAGGGACTATTTTGTTATTTTTATATATTTAGGGGTTATTTTTAAAATTTTTACAAACTTCTGGGGTGTTTTTATATTTAAATTTATTAATTTATTAAAAAACTAATGGAGATCCGTTAATTTGGACGGAAAATGGGCCAATGGGACGAAATTGGCGAAAATTTCAAACATTAGGGTAAAATTGGCTAACCGAAAATCTATTGGGTATGATTGACTACGAGAGCAAAGTTTTAGGTCGGAACGACATTTTTTCCATGTTTGACTAACTACTAGACTAGATTTAAATTTGTATGAGCTGATGCTGCTGAAAATATTCTTCACATTTCCTTGCCATTCCGTCTCTACCATGATCCTTTATGTTGGAGCAATGTGTCAATGTTTCTCTGAGACTAAGAAATTTTTTCTTCCGCCAAGTTGATTGAGTTGTAGAACATTTCTGTGCTTATATCAATTATTATGCAGTTTCTGATTGGGTTATTTCCTGGTTAGTTCATTTGGTTGCCTTCCCTTTACTTTGAACTTTTGAAAGTCACCAAATATGTGAGACAGACTTGGGAGTATCTAGAATATCAAAATCATTATACACTGAAGCATTTGGTCGTCTTCTAGACTACCTTATACACTTCTTGCCCCATTTTGCAATTAATGGATGGAACAAATTGTTATCTAGTTGGCAAAGTTTTTCATACTCTCTGATATGTCAATCAGTTTCCTTATAGAGCTGTGTTCCTCTATTTGAAAAAGCATGTGTCACAAAATGGTAGATTTCATACCGAATCTTGTTGGATGTTATGAATTAGTATTAGTGTATTTAAAGTTAGAGAAAATAGTATTAAAGTTATTATAAAATTGAAAAACAAGTGAAAGACCTTCGCCTCATATCGACACTCGTAAACTAAATTGAATATGTTTCGTGAGTTGTATTTCTCATCATTATTTGTTTTTGAGGTGAAACTAGGTTGGCTTATATATCTGAAGTAATTATATTCGTGGAAATCGTCACGCATGATGGTTTTTTGGTGAAATATAAAATTAGTGTGATAGTGACATACAAATAAGCAAATATAAAATCATTGATATTTCTTTCTATATATTTAAATTGCACCCTTGAAGATGTAGTTGTCTTCTTCCTATTATTGTACTTTAGTAATTTATTACTAATAAATAAATAATGAAAAGTCAGATCTTTCTCGATTCTCGAAAATATTGCGTGCTGCGCTACAGTTCCATTTCTTCTTTGCATCTTGAGTCTCCTTTTCCACAAAAGCTAACAGTATCTTTGCAGACGTTAGCAAGTGAAGGAAGAAACAACAAAGAATGGCTTCATCCCTTATAACTTCCATTAATTCAGCCCTTAGAGGCCTAGAGTTTGCGGATGAGTATATTGCACGCCGCATCCCTTATGCATTGAAGAACCTGAAGCTTAAGCTAATGAATTTTAAGGTCTTTGTTGTTCTCTGTGCAAGAATCTTGGGAAAAGAGAATGATGAGTATCCATTAAGCCTTGGATCTCTGTTGGCAACTATTGAAGATGTTGTTGGAAGGTCCATTGTAGAAGTTCAATTAAATTGTATCCCTACTGGTGCCGGGTTGAAAAACCTGGAGATGAAGATTGGAAGTTTTGTGCGAGAGATGCTTGATTTGGAGGGGCAAATAGATGAATGGTACGCCAGTGCGATGTCGAATCAGCCGATGACGACGGGTTCTCTAACAGCTGAAGAAATAGGGGAAATTGCTGATTCCATTGCAGAAAACTCAGTGGGGATTATGAGTTTCAGATATTACTACTTCATGTATGACAACCTGGCACCAGATCAGGCCATGATAGTGTATGTTGAAAGTCTAGCCAAATTTATGGATTTTTTCGGAGTTCAGATGACATTCTTGAAAGATCTCATCCGTTTTACTTTGTGGGTTAGTGCTGATGAACGCACCCACTTGGAAGGTTTGTTGTTTCACTTCGAAGTTGTTGCTGTCAATGCAGCGCGTGTCTTTCTTATGTCTCCCGAGGATAAGTTGGAAGGAGAACGGTGTGAAGAAATGCGGGCCAGAGCTTCTGGAGTGCTTCAAAAGATCATGCCCTTTGACCAACATGTTAATCAAACTTACGGTGAGGCTCTAAGCAGTTCAAGATTACTGTTGTTCAGACACTTGGATGATCCCACTCATGAAGAGGATTGTGGTTACACTGTGATTGTCCTGAAGGATTTTCTTGATTCTCTCATATCTGTTCTTTGGGTCATCCTACAGACGGACCTTCCTATAAGGGATCAAATGCAAACGGCATTTGAAGCTTTAAAATTCTTAAGAACCATTGTGAAGAAGCAGCATCCAAGGAAATTGGATGATGAAATCAGGAATCAAATTGGAGTTCTGGTGTGTGATGCGGGGGACTTGATTTTAATGATTCACCAATCAGATTGTGAAACTGACCCCGGGTTTCGAGATTTGTCAGAAAGAATCAGGCTTACTGGTGCAGTGGTACAAGGGGAAGTTTCACAGGCATCAGTAATCAAGTTTCCCAAGACCAATGGGTTGGGTTTTGTTGATTATGTACAAGAAAATCTGATGGAACTGATGATGACTCACGAGGGTGAATCAATTATCAAAAACCATGTGCAAATTATCGGAGAAAGTCTCGTCTCCTTAAGGTCTTCCTTGGACGAAACCTTGAGATTCCACAATGAAAATGAGGACCTCCAAGCTCTTTGGAATCGTGTTTTAAAGATGGGATACGAGGCAGATCTTCTTACAGATAGGTTAGTGACTGAAGATTTTGATAGTTTTTCAGCTTTAACAGATTCCATGATAGAATCCATCTTAGCAGACATTATGACTATCAACAGCGATCTGCTTCAGATGTCTTATGGCAATGTAAAAAGACACCCAAGGAAGAAAATAAAAAAATCAGAGACCAGGATACCAAATGATCGGTTTCCTCAAATCTCTCCGTCGATTTTAAATGAAATTGTCGGTTTTCGAGAAGAGATCACCTCAATCATTGATCGACTTACAAGAGGATCAGATAAGTTGAAGATAGTTGTTATTTCAGGGATGGCTGGTTCAGGCAAGACCACATTAGCTTCAAGAGTGTACAACGATCCTGCTATAATGTGTCATTTTCATGTTCGAGCTTGGCATACCGTTTCTCAAGTATTTGACAAACGGAAAGTGGTAAGTGGGCTTCTAAAACAAATTGATCCTACCGGAGCCTCTTCCGATAGGACACAGCATGATTTAGTACAAAAGCTCTGGCGAAATCTGAAAAGGAAGAGGTACCTCATCTTTTTGGATGACGTGTGGACCACTGAACCGTGGGAAAGTTTGAAAGAATCATTCCCTGATGATTCTACTCAAAGCAGAATCATATTGACAAGTCGACTTCGTAATGTTGTTCCTCTTGCCAGGCTTGATGGCGAACCTCATTCACTTCGTCCATTCACCGAAAATGAGAGTATGGAATTACTGCAGAGGAAGCTGATGATCCCTGGGAAAAACTGGCCGGTTGAATTGAGCCAACTTGGGATGCAAATTGTAAGAGATTGTCGGGGATTACCTCTAACTATTGTCATCGTAGCTGGACTTTTGGCAAAAATGGAACAAGAGAGACGGGGAGAGATTTTAGAGGCTTTGAGTTTGGGGGAGCAATGCTTGAATACACTGGAATTGAGTTACAAAAATCTACCAGAACACTTGAAGCCCTGTTTTCTGTATTTTGGGGCATTTCCAAGTGATGAAGAAATTTCTGTGAGGAGGTTGATTAGATTATGGATTGCCGAAGGATTTGTAAGAAGATCGAACTCAATGACAATAGAAAATGTTGCAGAAGGTTACATGGTGGATTTGATTGAGAGAAGTTTAGTCATGGTTGCTAAACGAAGATCCTTGGACAATGGAGCGAAAACATGCCTGATCCATGATTTATTGCATGATTTTTGTTTGAGAAAAGCAACAGAAGAGAACTTCTTCCTTCTGTTACGAGGGTATGATGAGCTTTCAGATTTCAACAGTCATGGACGGAGATTGTGCATTTACTCTCACCCCATTCATCTAAAGAAGTCCAGATTATTTTCTCCTCATGCACGTTCTCTGCTGTTCTTCTCCACTAAGGAAATCGCAGGTGGCCATGAAGAAGATTGGCTTGATTTTTCAATAATCATTCGCAGTTTCAGAGTGGTTAAAGTGTTGTCTTTACCTGAGATTCATTTTGGTCGCGTGATTTCAAGTGAAATAGAGCTTCTCAATCTTCTCAGGTACTTGAACCTAGAAGGCAGGTTGAAAGACATTCCATTATCCATAGGCAAGTTATCAAGCCTTCAGACTTTGATTTTGCGTCCTGGCGTGGAAGGCATTTCGTTGCCACACACGCTCTGGAACTTGCGGAAATTGAAATGTCTGTACATTAATGGTGGTCTAAACATTGGCGGTATCTTGCCTATTGAAAACCTTGAAAGCTCCCCGATTTTAGATGAGTTGGAATGCTTTTCTTGTGCAATATTCTATTCTCATGACAGGATGGACCAGCAAATGAGCAAGTTCCCAAACATCCGCAGGCTGAGAATAAACCTCATTCGGGTGTTGAACAGTGAAAGTAAGTTCTACAAGATTGTGGTACCAGATACTCTAAGTCGATTAGAATCACTGCACCTGTCAGGGTTTCTCCTGTTTCAACCCAAAATGGAGTTTGATTTGCCTGAAAAACTCAGGAAATTGACCTTATCGCACCTTCGTCTGCCCTGGAGTGGGATTTCAACTATCGGTAAACTGCCGAACCTTGAGGTTCTCAAATTATGTCATAGGTGCTTCTCAGGGAAATCATGGGACATGGAAGAAGGGAACTTCCCCAACCTTAGATACTTAAAAATGTTTAATTTAGACCTTGCCCAATGGACATCTTCCTCTGATGATCTATTGCCCTGTCTGCAGAAGTTGGATTTGATTGACTGTGGCAATTTAGAAGAGATTCCTTCATCTTTGGAGAGCATTTACACTCTGAAGACCATGGTCGTCTCTCGCTGTTCTCCTACTTTAGTAAGCTTGGTCAAAAGCTTTGAGGAGGAACAGCTGGACCAGGGAAATTCGTCGTTGCGGATACACATTGGAGAACTTAGTACTCGTTAGATCTGTTTTGTTAGGTATTTTTCTTTCATTTCATTCCAACATGGATTTTGGAGGTGTTCATTTGACTAAAGTAGTGTAGGAGCTCAATCAATCTCATGTCTTGTGTTGTTTTCATTTGGTAATAGGAGTGTATGGCAACTCTTTCGTATTCGTAATGCAGTCTAAGTTTTTCTTCTTCCAAAAGACAGTGTCTCTTTAACATTTTAATAATTTCTTTAGCTTCCATTTTTCGTGTAAAAAGAGAAATTTAAAACAAATATTGGTAAATCGTTTATGGATTCTGTAGATTGATGAAATAAGTCTTTTTGTTTTTTTTATTCTTTGGCTTCCATTTTTCGTGTAGAAAGAAGAAATTTTTTTAAAAAATTTCGTGTAGAAAGAAGAAATTTTTTTTAAAAAAATTATTGATAATTCATTTATGGATTCTGTAGATTGAAGTACGTAATTTTTATAATAATTATTTTGTAGTTGCTTTCACTTTCACCTGATTGACAGTGTGTCAATTCGAACGTTAACAACTAGCCAAAAGAAATTCTGTTTTAAACAAGAGTACTGGAGAATGGATACCAAACACAGATTTTCTTGTGAATCACAGATATTAATAGCGTAAAAGGAGAGATAATTAAGTTAAAAATCACTTTTATAGATATAGTCTTTTGTTACTATTGATAGAAGTTATATTTAAGACTAGGCTTATCTTTGTCGCGATTTGCGCGACCAGTTTGTATCATATAATTATTATACTGTGTTCGTAACCAAAAAGTAATGCTACAGAGAAAGTATAAAAATAGTTTGTTTTATTGAATTCTATGTCAATAATTTGAATTACAATTGCTTAATCTTTTTATTATGAAATGTAGCTTGTTTTTTATCTTTGACTTTACTTTGTATTCTATTCGTTTCTTTAGTCGATAAGACTATTTGTATTCACCAAATCGGGAAGAAGTAAAAGGTAATACTCGAGCTTTATAAATTTCTGTATTAGGAGCTCATAAATTAGGATCGGTTGCTACAAAAGAATCAAAGTAGTAGCCTTAGGAGGCGAAGAAGCCTTGTTTTCTCGGGTAAAGTGAGCTTGGAATGAACCACTTTTCCATTGCTTTAGACTTATCTTGACAGTAATGGCGGCATTACTTTAAATGCAGCAGCGCAAAGAATAACAAAAATAGAACTATTTGTATAAAGACTAGATTTTAAGCCCGCACAGGATTATCAAAGAATCACTTGTCAACACTACCATCAGACCAGGTTTGTGGGAAAAGGTTTGACATGTGGAAACATTGGTGCAAAAAATAGAAATGGAGACCAGAAACTAATGCCTAATTAGCAGTAAAAATAAAAGTATAGGGATGTACGCCAAAAAAATTCCAAACCTATTAGTTGATCATGACTTTACTGAGCAAGAGTCTAGTAGTTGCATAAGATCAAACTCAATGAAATTATTTTTTGCCATACTATTTGTTGAGCAAATCTTAAGAATCAACTAAGTGCGTGTAAAGCATAGTTCATAGTTGTTTGGCGAGCAGCTGAAGAATATGCACCAATGAAAGTTGTTCCAGATAGATGAAAAAATTATGTAGTAAATAATAAAAAGAAAATTAAGGATAAACAATAGAAACGTTTATGCGCAAAGTTATAGAAGAGTGTTTCATTCTCTGAAAGGTCTTCTAGAATAACATAATAGATTCCTGTTTTTGACATTTAGTGGGTAAAGAAGCTCGAAATACTTATCTTTTTCCTCACTATTGACAACCAAATGACTGTTGGCATAGATTGCAAGAAGCATAGTAAGGCAGAGAAGCAAAAGCCACCAGAAAGTCTTACGAAACAAAATTTTTTTAAATGGTACAGAGACAGTGATTATCTTTTCCTAATGTACCTACCCCTTTCAATTGCAAATTCTTCGCTAGTTTTATCTGTATCTGGTACAATTAGTGAAGTTCCTGAACCCGAAGAACAACAGAAAGGCAATGACCTTTACATATGAAGTAATGCCGTATGCTCTATGCTTAGTCAATCTAAAGCAGAAACGGGTAGCTTCTCCCCAAAGCATTCCCAATCATCAAGTACTAATATTAAGACGAGTAGTCAAGTGTCCAGCATTTTATTTACCTGGTAAAGCAAAATTTACCACAAATAAACTATCATAATTAGGACATCAAGTTAGTGACTCACTAATGCATGTAGCAAATCCGTATGTTATTATTTTTTTTTCCCTTACACCAAGAGCCTTATCATGCTACTAAAGTAGCTCATCATTATATTCCAAATTTTTAAATAATCCAGCATACATATCAAAGAGAGCCTAGGCGTATTAATTAGAGAAAAATATTCAAATCTAGACATGGAGGTAATTTTTCAATCAACTTTTTTGAACCATAGACATATAAAGAGATGGTATTTTAGTTCTTTATTATAAAACAGTCGAATATTAGAAACATAAAGTCAGAGAAAGAGTAAATTACAATATCACAAGTATATAAAGTCAGTAAAAAAAAATACAAATTTTGGTGCAGATATCTAGTGGAGTGAGGATTTATGACAAATTTTGGTCCCAATTTGATGCAATGTTGTTGCGATCGTATACTAAACTACATTTGATTAGTCTTCCACGTGATTCACTTTGTTGACAGTAAAGGAACCTCTGTAACCCAATTAATTTTAAAGTGATTGATAATGTATTTTCATATAGATCACAGTTAGGGAACAACAACAAAGAATGTCTACCAGTTCAATAAACCAAAATTTTATGTGTTCAAACCTAAGGCATAAAAAGGCCTCCCTTCCACTTCAATTTTAACTTTGCAATTAAATAGGTTAAAAACAAATCAGGCTTGGTGGAGACAGTATACAACACACCAATGCAAACATGATCATATCCCCAAAAATAGTAAGTCATGAGAACTTTTACCATGGTTGAAAGGTCTGCACCTTTGTCCAACTAACATAAGATAAATTGACATGTAACCAATTGATCAGCAAATATTCCATATTCTATGTACATTTAAAATTGGTTTGAAACACAAAAGAAGAACAAATATTCGGCCAATTCAATAGGATTCAAAAAAGAAATTTTAAAAAGGAACTATCTTGCAAAGGTCCTTATAACATGGCTCAGGTTCCACAATTCTGCTATTTCTGCTGACAATATCTCTCTATTTCTCACTCTCCTTATAATTCTTCATATTCTGAAAGAGTTCAATTCGATGACTAACCGACAACAACCTAAAACAAACATAATTACATGAAATTCTGCTAGATTAAATAGAATTCAGCAATTCAAACATTCTCGTAAAATCCTACCTTTCCATCCAAAATCATAACCATATGTGAATATTGAGATCAAAACTTCAAATTCGTTTTAATACAAAAGATATGAAAGGGAAAAATAAAATCAGTATTACCTATGGTAGGAGAGAGATCTTCGAAGGTATCTGGAGTAAAGCTGAGCAAAGGACTACTTTTTTCCAACTCCAGAATCCCCAATCAACAATAACTTGAACAAATAATCAAATTCTTACGAGGAGGACGACGAAGACGATACCATCTCCACGAAATTTAATTGGAACATCCATGAAAAAAACAACAGATTAGGCAACCTGAAAAATAAGAAAAGATTAGGACCGAGTGAAATTCAGTGAGCATAGACAAGATAGATATCATTCAAGATTTCATGATGCAGTAACTATTTCTCTATTGAATGGCAAAACCAGAATCAAAACAAATCATAATAAAAAGAGAACTACACGAAAACAAACCTTTTGGAGAATAAAACAATTCAGGAACTGCGGAGAGCCCCAACAAAAAAGTCCTTGTGATTGTCCTTGGCATTTGATGTGGTTTGGTGTCCTCTTTTTGCGCTGAGAGCTCTCAACAGAAACAAATGGCGGAAATTATGCAATCCTGGTTTCTACCCTATTAGAAAGTTCTGCAATGTAAACACCAAGAAAAATCAACAAAAAAAAGAAAAAGAAAAGATTAGGAGTAGACTCCAAGGAAAAAGAAGCAGCAGCAATAGTACAGAAAGACCAAACTTTTTATTTTTCTGGTGAGTGAGTTGGTGGCACAATCCACGGTGGTGGGGAAAGAAGAGGAAAAAACCCTCTAGAAAATCCGGTGAGCGACTCTTCGCAGCAATAGAATTAGAGCCCAAATAGAAAGAAAAAGAAAAAGGAGAAAAAATAGTGTATATAGAACAATGTTCAAATCTTGTCTAACACCATGATCTATGACCGATCAAGATTAGAGCCCCTTCCTCTTCTCATTACTGCTCTTTATCTTCGTCCCCAACAGTCCTCCGGTGAAGGTTGCAAAATCGAATCTATGGACTCAATCAACTAACGTTCCGACGATAAACTTCAACAACTCTGCACGGAGGTTATGGTGATTAGCGGCGGCAACTCATGTTTGAAGGTGGTCTTTAGTGGCAGTTTGATTTTTAGCCGTAGCTATAGTTTTAGTCGCAGCAGAGGAACTGCGGTTCCAATTCGTGTCTGTAACAATTTTTTATATATAATCCTTCGGCCCCAAAAAACGGTGGGGGTATCAGCGTAAATAGAGGTCTTAAAAAAGAGGGAGGAGGCTAAAAGACAAGAAGGAAAAAAGGAAAGATGAAGCGCACGTGTAATCTGTGGTCATTTTGTTTCGGAGATTCAACAAAATTTCTTTTTAAAAAGAAAATATTAATACAAAAACGTCGTCGTTTTCACTGCTGGGAATAAAATAAGGGTATAAAACGACGTTGTTTTGATATCTGGGGATTTTTTTTTTTACCAAAAATTCAGATTTTTTCGTATTCATTAATTTGAAATTGAATTTATGCATTCTCCGTTTTGCCCCCAATAAGTCACTAACGTCATATCAAGACTATCCGACGTACGAGATCAATTTGAATGTGGCCATGAATATTTTTGGGCATTTAATTTCTTGCCTACTGTGCCTTTATATTAAGTATAAGGATGAGGTTCATAGATGTTCCTATTACCAAATTTTATATAATGTTTATGTTCCTTATAAAATTCTACAATATACTTCATTAATTCTAAAAATATAATTTACATTAATTATTTTGAACATATCGACTATTTAACCAGTGTAAATCAGAATATCACATAAAATCCTAGGTTTAAAAAAATAGTATAGTTCCATAAAAAAAAAAAG